TAGCAACAAAGAGAGTTGACTCCAATAGGTAATGGCAAAGTTATAGAAACAGACTGTGTGTTAATGCTTGTAGCATATGTTGTAAATTACTCTTTGCTATTGACACACAAATTATTACCCCAATATATATAAATCGACCTGAGCTGTAGCCATTTATGTATTTGCTAAGGTTGCTTGACTGTGGCGGCCATCTTGAATGAGTGTGACTCCAAACAGTCACTTTTAGAAATATCTTCAATGATTTCTGTCTGAGATATTCATTAAAATCTACAGAGTAGATTTAGAGATATTTAACTAACAGACAGACAAACGTACACACACAGACAGAAAAACATGATAGCCCTTTCAACTTTGGGCCATAAATATTTCTGATTGAGGAGACAGAACCATTCAAAACATGTCATGCATGAATGAATTCACACACCATGTTTAAAGCCCGGCTGCGGTAAAATTCCTCAGTTCATTGCTTCAGTGGCTGCAGAAGGTGGTGTCAGACAAACTTTCTCCTCAGAGAGAATCTATGACTCTGCAGAGCTCCGTCACCCTGCTGCTCATAAACACAAAGCATGTGAAAGTGGAAGTGATCATCCTATAATTCACATTAAAGACTGAGCCTATTGATGTCTTCAGATGAGCACGGACTGCTTGGATGCACACTACACCATCTGCCTTTACAGTTTTATGCTCGGATCAGTTATTATTTCACCCCATTGGAGGCGGACTGCAGTAACAAATATCTGTAACCAGTCATGTAGGCATGCGAAGCACAGACAGATTTATGAAACAGTGTTCCCATTTCACTCGGAGCCACCGGAGTTTCTGCACTTCTGGTTTCTGGGACATGATTGAATTTGTGCAGACTTTGCCGCACATAAAGGTCAGTGGTTGCTGTGTAAACATCTTCATGTAAACATGTTTGTTTTGCTCTCAGATTTGGGTTTCTCATTCTTTCGATTTTCAAACTGGTCACTTACAGGTCCTTCACAAAAAATAAGCATATTGTGATAAAGGTCATTATTTACCATAATGTAATGATAAAAATGAAACTTTCATATATTTCAGATTCATTGCACACCATCTGAAATATTTCAGGTCTTTAATTGTTTTCGATATGTTACAAGAAGCATAATCATGATATGTTACAAGAATTATAATCATGATTTGCTACCGGAAGCATAATCACGATATGCTACAAGAAACATAATCACGATATGTTACAAGAAGCATAATCACGATATGCTACAAG